CATGTTTTGATTTTTTCAAAAAATCAAAACAGTGCCTGCGACCTGACTGCGCAGCCTTCGGCAGCGGTCCAGTGAGGTTTTGCTCTGAACCCGCTCTTCCCAGGATCGCCACCTGTGAGCCTCTCAGAGCTGTTGAACATTGGTCCCGCAGAGAGTCTCTGCACGCTCCGAATCCGAAGGCCCAGGCTCGAAGGCTCAGCTCAGTTTCCCATTGACCTTCTTTCGCGCCATGCAGCGGCTTCTACGCGGCTTGCAGCTAGGGCACGTGCGGAGAGTTGCTGGAAGCAGCGTGGAACGTGCCGTGACCCTGCGCTGGCCCGATGGCCGGGAAGCTGGCGCCTTTCTTCCCAAGTTCTTGCGGGAAAACACGATAGAAGCCTGGGACGGGAGTTCCAAGCAGCGTTTGGACTTTTGCCTACCGCTGGACTTACAGGTCAGGGACGTAGCGCCAGTGGAGTTTTCGTCACCTGACTACTCCGGCCCCGCTTTCCGGCTGCAATTCTCGGACGGTCATGTTGGCCACTTCACTCCTCCGCGTCCTGCAGATACAATGTGGTCGAACGAACTCCGTCGCCAAGAGAAGGTCCTTTGGGGCAAAGAAGAAGCTACACAAGTTCGAGGTGAACTAAGTGACAGCCATGGACTGCTTCGCTTCGAGTGGAAGGATCTGCAGGAGAATCCCTCCGTAGCCAAGAAGTGGATCGAGGCAATGCACAGCCATGGACTGGCGCTGGTCGCCGGATTGCCGAGTTCTGAAGATAAACCTTTTGATGGTGTTCATGCATTCGCACAGAGCTTGGGCACGTTCCTTGCTCCGAGCGTTTATGGACAGACCTTTCAAATCAAGAGCGTCACAAGCCCAAACAACTTGGCCTACTCCAGCCTTGGCTTGCAGATGCATACGGATTTGCCTTTCAACGAGCAACCGCCAGGCATTCAACTCTTTCACTGCCTGCAGCAGGCAGAAGAAGGCGGCGAGTCTATTGCCATGGATGGGTTTGCGGCAGCAGAAGCTCTGCGTCAGCAGGACCCGGAGGCATTTCAAACGCTTTGCGAACATCCCATCGGGTTTCAGGACGTCACCAAGGACTGGTTCCTCTCCGCAAAGCATCCCATCTTTGAGTTGGATGGTGCAGCTTCAGCTGACACTGCATCAAAGCTGCGGCGTCTGAACTTCAATGAAAGGGCCAGGGACTCTTGGCGACACTGGAATCCCGCAGCATCGTTACAGCAGGAAGAGAAGGTCTATGAGGCTATGCTAAAGTTCGAGAAACTCGTCGAGGATCGTTCCCGCTATGTGTCGCCGCGCCTTATGCCGGGGGAGATGATATGTACAGACAACTGGCGGGTAATGCACTCGCGCTCCTCTTTCTTGGGCTCGAGATATTTTGTCGGCGCCTACCTAGACTGGGATGCTGTGAGAGGACGCTGGCGCAACTTGTCGAACACATTCGAAGCCCAGTGGAGGGACATCGCCTCCACACACTAAGTCTCGGAAGATGCCCATGCCACTTTTGCTGATGGAGACGAGACAGAATTAGACAGCTCCAAAAGATCAGCGAAGGCTGCTCCTTTCGTTCGTGTTGCCCTGCACGGCCCTAGGGCACTGTTTATGTTGTCCGAAGAGTGAGCGAACTTCCGATTGGGAAGGTTAGCACGTCCGACTCCTCTTCCACGGCGCCCATTGTGGATGTCACCTGTGCGTGTGGCGGACGGCAAGCTCTCAAAGGAAAAAGCTCGTGTGTGCAGGTGGTTGGGATACCCCTCTGACATGACGGACACGCACATTAAATTCGTAATTTGGAAGTCGTAGTGGGCATGGCGCAATTTCTTGAGCACTCTCTGATCATGTACGACGCTTCGGGAGATCCAAGGGACGGGAGCCAACACTGGTTTGCCAGCTCAGGTCTCTTCGAAACTTCATGAGACTTCCGGCCTCGACGATTTTTGTCTGGTCACGGCCGCACACAGAGGCAGATCTGGACGATTCGTTGGTCTGCTGTGCGCAGTTGTGACATGAAGCCAACTAGGGAACTCGAATCCAACTTCTGCCATGTTCTAGCCTTGATCGCGAGAGTCGAATGCAGGCTCCTTGATCCACGAAAGCTGGGGTGTTTGCTTGCAGGTTATCTGGTGAGCTTTGGCTGAGGCCACGCCCGAGGACCCGAAGCGCGAAGCTTACGTTGAAGACTTCTCTGCTTAGGAGATCTTCGGACACCCGCAACGCTGCTAGAAGTGCTTTCGACATGACGAGGTCCTTTCCTTCCGAAAGCCAGTGTCTGCAAGCGCAGCGGTCCGTCGAATCAGGCTTCAGACGCCTAGTGTCCAGTGCCTGTGCCTGTGGGCATTTAGTCATGATTCAGGATGGCCGGTTTCTTACCGTGGCTGTGGTTCAAGCTGGACGACAACGGACGAAATTGAACAAGGATTTACCCCTGCGTTCATACTTAGATCTCAGTTTCACACTGCGCCGACTCGGCACGACCAGAGCCAAACTGCTCGAGGATGCAAAAATAGATCCGAATACCGATGTGATGGATGAGACTTCGCAATCATTCAGTCACTTTAGTCACATTCGGGTTGCATACTTGTCCGTACGGGGATGCCGGACCAGTGACAAGTAGAGGAGCCTCCGGGGTGGTATGAGGGTGACCACCCTCCTGCTGGCATATTCTGAGGCTACCCATGTAACTGATTCACAGGCCAGGTGCGGCAGTCTTGAAAAGAGTGCCGCAGACGCTGAATCCAAGTCTTATCAAGCACCTCGAATTCTGTTGACACCGCCGGGCCACCTCAAGGGCAGGTTTTGTGGCAATGGTTGCATGCGGGTGGCCCTACGCCCTACGTGCCAGTTGCTAAGATCCGAAGAGGACGATCGCACTTCCAGAAGGAGGGGATGTGCTGTCACAGAACTGTCGACGTCCTTCGTCTCTGAGGTGTAGTACGTCCATGCACTGGCGCATGCCCCAGCGACTTGAGATGGACTTGATGAGGGTGGCTCTCCATTCGTCATCAGGCCGTCGAGGAAGCCTTCGCCAGAAGAGAGCTCTCCTCCAAGCGAGACGCCAGGCGCCAGTTGTGACTTTGCATGAGCTTCCCACCCTTTGCATTTGGGTGTGCCAGGAGGTCCATCCGATGTTGGCACCCAAGACTCTGGGTTTTGGCTCGCACGCGCGCCTTTTTGGGGTTTTCCGTGTTAGCTCGCTGACTGCACTTCAGGCGGCACCAGTAGCTCGGAAGTTTTCGGCCCCACCGGCAGCAGATGCCAATGGCCTCAGCTTCAAAGTCGTGATGCACACCCTCGGAGCTATTTGTGACGCCAGCCACATCACTTCCTGCCCCCACCTCAATAATAGTGACCGTATTAGCAATACGATGCGTGATTACTTTTCACGGCTCCGCAGAGAAATTCGCAAAGGCTGATGGCAGCCATAGGCGATGGATAGAGTGACAGTTTGATGTTAAGTCAGCTCGATATTTTCCGAGCAACACAGAACAATGTACCGGATTACACGTGGTGGCGCTAATCGTTGTGGTGCCGGTAGTGGTTGAGGAGGAGTAGCAGTAGCAGTGGCAGCAGCAAAAGCAGTAGTGCTCAGTAGTGAAGTAGTCCAAGCAGTGTATGGAGTATAAGTAGTGCAGTCGCAGTCGCAGTCGACGTCGCTGTTGACGTCGAAGCAGCAGCAGCAGCAGGAGGAGTAGTAGCAGTAGTAGTAGTAGTCGTCGTCGTCGTCGTCGTCGTCGTCAGCATTAGGGGTAGGGGAGAACTAGGGCTAGGGCTCAGGCTGGCAGGGGCTAGGACTAGGGCTGGGCTAGCACTAGGAGTAGGAGTAGGAGAAGTAGTAGCAAAAAGAAGAAGAAGTAGTAGTAGTCGTAGTCGTNNCAGCAGCAGCAGCCGCAGCAGCAGTAATGCCAAAACGACCACGAACCGCGAGATGCGAGGTTCACGCACATTGCTGCAGCAAAGTGCAGGCTGCACCAGTGGCGAGAAAGTTCTCAGCCCCGCCAGCAGCACCAGTACCCCCAGCGCCTTGGCTTGGTTTGAATTGGTTGCGGCATGGCTAAGACCAGCTCCTGCTCTCTTAACGGTACATAACGGTACAAGGCGTCACGCCCAACGAACTACGACAGCATGGACTTCTCAAAGCAACCGGCTCGGTCGCCTCGGTGGATGTAGTAGCTGTGAGTATCCACTGGCCTGTGCTTCTGACTTGTCTTGTCGTGAGGTACAGCTCCAGCATTCACGAAACTGATGGTCTGCAAGACGCGCAGTTGGCCAGGCGTAGTCAGCACCTGAGGTCGTGGAAAGCAGAGCAAGGCAAAGAATCAACAAGTCTGACATGCATGCAGCGAGGCAGCTCGGATGGACAGTGGATCCAGAGTCCGCGCCTGCGGCAATGCTTCAACAACATTCAGCTTGGTGCCAAGATGGGCCGAGAGCTTACAAGCACCGAAGTGACGGGCCACGGTCCTGCGTCCGACCTGACGGCTGACTCTGCAGGCGCCTCGGTTGGCGGCTGCTTCGGCCTCCTTACAGGGGCTTGGGTGGCGATCACGCAGAGGAACCTCCTGGTGCCCGAGAATGGGGGGGGGGGGAAGAGGGGCTTCTGTGAGGCGTCAGGGTGCAAAGTCCAGGACAGATCTCCTGAGCAGGTGCTGCCAGTCTCCGTGATCGGAGGTGCTGTCAGCTTTGGATTCTTCCTCGGGTGCGGCATGATCATCAGGCCCCGGGGCTCCCACGTGTGACCTGTGCAGGGTGTTCCGACATAATCCGCAAGTAGAACGACCCGAAGTCCACGAAGTCTGCAATCCCAACACGCCAAGCCGCTAGGTGTGAGGAGCAGAAGGGTGGTGCGATGATTCACTCCCAGCTGGTCTCCGTGGATGTCCACCGCCATCTTTAGCTGTCATGCCTGAGTTGCGTTCAATCTCTAGCAGCTTCCCTAATGGCGAAGTGCCTCAACATTCTGGCAGCTCGAAGCCTCGTTCTGTCATGATGTCCTATCCTAGAGCGTAAGGCCCCCGTTTCTTTGGGGAAGCGCGTGACTCGAGGCTTCCACACGACCGAGACCGCTGCTTGGAGCGACCGGCGCGTTGGCCTCGGAGATGCGCAAGACTGCCAAAGGACACCATAGGGTTTAGGGTCAAGGACACCATGGCAAGTAGCAACATGTTGCGCCTTCTTTGCCTGGCTGGACGAAACTAGTCGCATCTACATTGCTCTTTGCTCAGCATCAGCTAGACTATACACCGCATTCTGCTATGACATGGGCTGGCCGGTGGTACTCTTCTGCTTCGCATGATATGCATCATGTGCAGATGCGTATAAGCTTACATATACGTGAAATGCGGCATTACAGACAGATAGATCGACTGCATCATTCCATGCAGAACACGCCACACCTTGTATTTCCGTCTGCTGGTCCTTGTAATGCTGCAAAGAACTCTGAGAAGCATTTTTGCGTTGCAGGCAAACTTGTTTTAAGTACGAGATTTTCCAGATGTCCGGGCTGCAGTGGCCATCCGGTTCCCTGGTAGGTTTTTGTGCCTCGGTCGCTTACTGACGTGTCTGCATGTGTGGGTGCGCTCGATTGGTTCGTCATGCTGGCAGTCACCACAGGGCGCCCACATGCGCCCACTGCACAGATAGGCTTGTATATACGATGGTACATGTTGAATCTGAAGAAATGAGGTCAGCTTCGCGCCCTTGGTCCAGGCACTACGCCGCCGTGACGAGTGACGGGTGGCGAGTTTCAACACCGTAAAGTTAAGGTAGCAGTGAATAGCAAGTGATAACGGGTGAGCCGGAGACTTCAACATTGCAAGCAGCTTGATTGCAAAGGTCTTGCCATGAACAACTTCGTTTCTAGCATCTGCAAAGAGTGGCACATGTTTGTAAGTTCCTGCCGCCGTGTGACAGCGTGCGGAGCCTTGGCGGCAGCCTTTGAGAAAAGGCTCCCCCTAAAGCCTGACTACCCGGGTCTCCCAACTTCGGAGCGAAAGCACAGCAGATTGAAAGATGTTCTGGCTTTTCGCTCTCAGAGCGGGAGTCCCCTGAGTTCCAGGGGCGCTTATTGTTTAACCGTCACGCAGGGAGGCCACGTAAGGCCGTTATCCTCCGCAGAGCACGTAGAGCCAGCTAGCTGAGGACCTTTAACACCGTGTCAAAGCACGCTTCTTACCAGCCACGAACCCCAAGCAAGCCTCGACAGGAACAAAAGGGCACCTCGTAAGCCTGATACATTGAACCATTGCGACTTCGGGGCGCTTTCGATGTTATTGGCATAGAGACCTCAGCCCCGCGCTCCAAAAGTTTGTGAGGGAGTTGAAGCTGCGAATCGGGTGACAGGCCGGACAGAATCCTGCAAGGTACTGCCAGCAGTCTTGGAAGCCTTGGCTCAAGAAAAGCTGCAGCTCACTGTAGCTTGATATTGCAGACTTGGATTTCCACACCTCTGCAGCTCAGCCCTCCGGAGCTACAGACCACTGACCGAGACTGTCCCCACAATCCTAGTTGGGGTTTGGGGTTTATCCTGATATCCATCGCTCACCTCCACAAGATCCAATCTGGAACCATGGTTAGCGCAGGGGCCAAGAAGTTCCGGACTCAGCTGGGTGTGGTGCATAGCCCACACCCTACAGGGTAGACCATGAAAGTGCAGCCCCTGAGCCCAAAACTGCGAACTACTCTTACGCTGTAACTCACACGACAGCATGGCCACAGGCTGTGTGTTTCTTTCTGTGGTACGTGCTATGAACCCAGGTGGGAGGTCAGCAGGGGCTTTTAGTTTTGGGAGCAAAGGATGGGAAGAGCTGTCTTCGACACGTCAAGACACAGGGGAGATCGATGCCGGTGCCACTTAAGCCGAGCTCCACCCTTCCTCGAATACACAGGTCCAAAAATCATCAGATGATTTGACGAATGCTTGTATACGGGATGGGCATCTGCACTCCAGGTGCCACCGTTCTTTCAGGGTAGGCTTGCGTGGCCAGCCAGTCTCGCCGTGTTGAAGCCTTGCCTTCTTTTTCATGTGTTGCCACGGCTCTCTCTGCCTCGGTTGACTGGTTAAGGACCTGCTACTACGAGCTGTTAGGCCATGGGGCTTGAAATGCTGGCATCTAGAAATTTACATGCGGTGTTGAGAGTGGCAAGATTAGAATCGAGCGACTTGGTGTCTAGCATGCGTTTCGACGGCAGAGAGATTCTGGAAGAGGCTTCTCTCCTCTAAGTGTCGGCAGGCTTGGATCGGAAATGCGAAGCTGCGGAGATCAAAGCCACCTACCGCAAGCAGGGAAGCCTAGTGTCGGAGGAACATGCAGTGTTTCGCACACCTGCAGCGCACGGCTGAAGCCGTCCAAGGCTTGCATTGCGCATGCATCCCGACAAGGCGCACCAAAATGGAATGTGCCTGGGGCCCGATAGTTGGCAGAGACAAGCCCACGTGAACAGCATACTACGAACAGCGAGCCGCCTGCGACATGGCTTCGTCGACAGGATGTTGTTGCTGAGTCTCTGTCTAGAGGAACTTCAAATCCCATAATGCCAAAACCCTATTGCTGTGTAGCCCCACATTCATCGTCCCCCACAAGTAAATGCCAGCGCTCGAGGCCCAGAAGAAGCGACGAAGCGCTTTCAGCAGATTCAGGAAGCCTACTCCGTGCCTTGGATGATGTTTGCTTCGTGTTCGCCATATGCAAAAAATCTCAACTTTCCGGTCCATCTGCTCACAACTATCGTTTCAGGTCCTTTCCGATGCGCAGGACCTTCACCCACGAGCGAACTGCGCCATGCTGCGCTGCCATGCATCTGAACAAATTCCTTCATCAACCCGTCCCTGCTACCAGGAGAGAGCCTGGTACGATGCGCATAGAGAGCAAATTCTCAGAGGCGATGATGGGCCCGGTGAGGACGCAAGATGTTCTTCGAGTGGCGAACCCGAGCGATAAAATCATATCCTCTGCAGGACCCTTTCAAGACCAAGATCAACTTGTACAAATATTTCAGCAGAAGCCTTGTGCAGGAAGCAGGGCTTTGGTAACCTAGAGTGGCATCTGACGACAAGGCGTGTCCTGCTTCGACGGCTTCGGCAATGACTCTCGCGGTTTTTTCGCGGTCTATTCCGAACTGTTCGAGGCACGGCACTTCTGCATGGCAGGGGAATTTCTGCGAAGCCTGCGTGACGTCGTGGATGATTCGCTTGACCGTGCGATGCTACGAAGGCCATCGATGCCGAAGAAGAGCAGTGGGAGGTCTGATCTTGTCGAGCCACATGGTCAGATTTCCAACCTAAGAGCATAAGAGAGTCGAATTGAGGATGCCGATGAAGATCACTTGGCCATGCCTCCCTTTGGGCGCTCGGACAGCGAGTGGGCCGACGTGTCGGCTTTCTACAGGCGCGGAACGATTGAGTACTCAGAAGGGGAGGAACGCTGCCTGCAGTCCCTCGGGCTCTTCACCGTGGTCTCGTAATCGGTGGTGTTGGGGTTGAGCAGTGGTCTTTCACTGTTTGAGGCCTACGCTGGCATACTCACTGGCATTATTGTGCTTGATTGTTTTTCTGTTGTCGCCATGGTTTCTACCCCCTGTTGCTTCTCTTCGAACCCAACGTTTCTCAATGCTCGCGCACTTGTGGTTCGATGCGTGTAAAAGGCACTGGCTGGACTTCTGCTCGCGGAAGGCCGGGCGGTTTGGAAGATGTTCTAGGAGGGTTTAGGGTTTAGGGGCTTTGGGAGGGTGAGAAGTTCACACTGCGGATCTGAGCCATGCCTTTGTCTCATTCTGCGCGGTCTTTCGGTCTCTTGATGCGCCAGCGAGGCGTTTGGCCATGCAGATCAGCTCCTCGCTAAGAAAAGAAGGGCTCGTTTGCCCAGCTTGTTCCGCCTCTGGCTGAGGTGGAACCCGAAGGACGCCTCAAACCGGCAAGTCCGCAGGGCGATGGAGCAGGCAAGTCTCCTGTGACCCCATAATGGCTGATGTGGTCTTCGTCACCTTCGAATCTTCGCAGGAGAACAAAAAAGCACGGCAGGCGGTGATTTGCCACAAGTGTCGCAATTGCTCTACCATCAGCTATGCATTGCTATTCAGCAGGCTGCAAAGAAGGAGTTCAATGCAGAGGTCCGACAGCTTGTGAAGCCTCCTTCTCAGAGCTTTCAGGCATATTGCATTGGCCTACCCAGACCTGGTTTCAAGTATACAGAAGGGCATAATGCGGCATAGACATGTGTGAGGTTCGTGCAAAAGCGAGATCCCAGATATCAAGCCCATCAAAAGCAGCAGATGAAGGACTGGGGCTAGCCCGGCCGTGGAACAGTTGGTGTACGCACTCTGCCACTGAAAGGAGAATATCGAGAAGAACCAGCGGGACAGAGCTGAAAAAGATCGCCGAAAAGCTGACGAGGACGGTGTCTTTTGGATCTTTCGGAGGTCTTGTAGCATTCGCAAGCCCAACCACGGAAGAAGATCGCACAAGTGCTGGTGATGCCCGAAGGCCAAGGACAAGGAAGAGCGCAAGGCGGCTGCACGACAGGCGGAGGAGGCGCGAGACAGACAGAAGGCAACAGCTGAAGTTGCATCCTGTGGTAACCTCGCGAGAAGAGTTGTGATCTTAGTGATGGTTATGATGATAAAGACGATGATGATGATCATGATGATGATAATAAGGTGATGATGATGATGATGATGATGATGGGTGATTTTGCCCCCACTGCTGCTGCCTCCACAACGGTTGCTGCTACTGGTGCTGCCAATGCTACTACTGCTACTATTACCTTTACCTTTGCCACTACCACCACCACCACGACGACTACTACGACGACGACGACTACTACCACCACTACTACTACTACTACTACTACTACTACTACCACTACTACTACTACCACGACTTCTACTCCTACCCCTACTCCTACTCCTCCTACTCCTACTCTTACTCCTCCCCCTATTGCTACTCCTGCCACTGCTACTGCTACTGCTACTACTGCGACTACTACTACTACTACTACTACTACTACTACTACTACGACTACTACTTCCACACTACTGAACTGGTACTGCTACTGCCGCTGCCGCTGCCGCTGCCGCTGCCGCTGCCGCTGCCGCTGCGACTGCGACTGCGACTGCTCCTGCTCCTGCTCCTGCTCCTGCTCCTGCTCCTGCTCCTGCTCCTGCTCCTGCTGCTGCTGCTGCTGCTGCTGCTGCTGCTGCTGCTCCTGCTCCTGCGACTGCGACTGCTACTGCCACTGCTACTGCTACTGCTACTGCTACTGCGACTGCTACTACAACAACAACAACAACAGCAACAACAACAACAGCAACAACAACAACAACAACAGCAACAGCAACAACAACAACTACTACTACGACGACGACTAGTACTACTACTACTACTACTACTACTACTACTACTAATTACTACTACGACGACGACGACGACGACGACGACGACGACGACGACGACGACTTCATCAGGACTTGTGTAACCGCCTGAGTATCACCACAAAACGCATCGCCCATCTCATGGTGTTCACAAGACAGCGCAAACAAAAAGCATGCAACATACGCTTTGACCAAGCCCCCCTTGGATGCAACTCGCTATAACCCTTAAGGCCAAAAGAAATCTTTGCAGCCTAAGCTGCAGCCCATACAACACCTGTCATCTTCAAGTTTAATTAAGTTACATCTTCGCTGCTCAACTAGGGTTTACGGTTCAGGGATAACGGTTTATAGGTAGGGCTCCAGGTTGATAGGGCTCGGTTTTGTTGGGTTTGGTTAAGGGTTTACGGTTTAGGGCTTAGGGTTTTGGGGTTTTGGGTTTAGGGTTTTGGGGGTTTCGGGGTTAAGGTTTCCCGAAGTTTGTCTAGAAAAGCAGCCTTGGTTTGTTGCGCTCCAGGTTTGTGGTCTGGAGCCGTGAATACCCCGGCGAGTTCTTCGAGCCATTTGACCGGACTTGCTTTGTCGAGTTCTAAAGCCCTCATCAAACCCTAATCCCTAAACCCTAAGCTCTAAGCCCTAAACCCTAAACTGTAAACCATTCTAAAGGGCTTGGATTCTTCGGTGGGCTTTGGGGTCAGGCTCGGTGTTCAGGGTGTAACGGCTTCTGGGCTTGGGAGTTTCAGCCATTTTTGTGCCGCATGTGCCTATAAGGACTGGGATGAAAGCGTCTAATACGGTTGATGATATAATGTAGGGGCCTTAAGCGGAATGGGGTTTGGGGTATATTTTGCTATACTTACCCCAAAATAGTATTGGTTATTGTTAGGCTTGTATATCAAATCCGGCATTATCTTAAGTAAGGACTCTAAACTATGGGAATTATGGTATATTCCTTATTACTATGCGTAATGCAGGATTTATATCATCAGCCGTAGTATCCTCTGGAGCCCGGACAGCAGTGCCTATGGCAGCCTCTGAGAGTACCCTGGCTTCAAAGCCTCAAGGCTCACTGCGTTTTGCGTTAAGATCATGGTCTAATACCGAATATAGAAGCCTGAAGAAACCCTAAACTCTAAACCCTTATATAGAAGCCTGAAGAAGTACCCAACACTATTCCTTTGTATTATACCCCAAAACCCTGCTCTTCTCGAGGCCCCGATGGTAGAGCTTAAACGTTTTGTCTTCATCCAAAACCCTTGTGGCTACCCTTAGAGGAACCCTCACGGGAACCCTTGAGAGAGCCCTGTAAGAGGGCCTCATCTCAACAACGAGGGCACTGCCTTACGGATTTAGGGGGACCTCCTGTTCGGGTGAGGGTAGGGTTGAGTTAGGGGTTTAGGGGCTAGGGCTTGTAGGGTCTAGGTGTGTTGAGGTGTAAGATTTAAAGCTTAAGGTTAAGGAGGTTGTCGTTCGCACTAGTCTTCTGGTGGTCTCCAGAAATGAAAGCTTGGAAGTATGCTACAGTACAAGCTTATCGGGCAAGATTCAGGGTCTTTTGAAGTCATCCTTCAAGCCACGAACTACTTACGGAATAACTCACGAGCATGGTCCACATAGAAGCCTAAGCCGTTACTAACCCTGCTCCTTAGGGTTCCTTATATTGTTATAGAGTTATATAAAGAGCCCCAAGTATGGTCAGGTCTGAGTGTAGGCTGTCGTAAGCGGGGACGCCCTGGGTCGGACTCGGGACAGCCCCAAAGCCCTAAACTCTACCTGGGGCTCTAACTACCTACAGCTTTGTGGGTTCTACCTACTAAAAAGGGGTATAATGACAAATAAACGGTAGGCAGAGAGGGTTACAGGTACACCCTAAACCCTCAACCCTAAACTTTAAACCTCAAAACCCGTGGGTCGAGTCGTGGTGGGGCGGGTGGTCCGAATCGAGGTCTGGTCGGTCGGTGCACGAGAATTGTCGTGACTGGTAAGTTGACGCTGAGGTTGATATGTTTTGGGGCCTATTACCAGACCTGCTTTGGGGGTTAGTGATTTAAAGAGGGTTCAGGATTTACGGCTCAAGATTAGAACTTAGGGCTGAGGTGCTTGACGACAGAGCGACAGTCTCTGAGGCACGACAAGTCGCGGCATGTGACGGTGAAGATTGCTGGAATGTTCTCGCGGCGCATCGTGCGCCCTGTCTTGCAACGGTTCGGCGTTTTCAGGGCTTGATTGTTGATATACGGCTGTTGATGGGGTTTTATCGGCTTCAATATAGGTGCTTCATAAAGTAGCATAAGTGTTTGGAGTTTGGTAGCTGATTGGTGTTGGAGTAGAGGAGCCTCCAAACAGGTCGTCATACATACATTAGAAGCGATGAGCGACACTAGGTCACTAGGCCTGCTCTTCTAGGTATATGGGTAGTTCTCTAACTATGGGTACCTTTTTCGGGTCCTCTTTGAACTTGTAAGGGTGCCGTACTATTTTGGAGGTTTAAACAGCGGCCTTATTTTGCAGAACTACCCGTATCCCCCTGATCAACATGCCCTAAACCATGTGCTAGCCTCAAAAGCCTTCATCCGGCATGTGTGGCTGGCAGGGAAGACAAGCAACGGCAAAGCACCCCCAAACAGAAAGCCCTAAGACCATCTAATGGCCCAAATTCTAAACATCAAGCCCTAAAGCCGAAACCCCAACACCCCAAGCCCAAAGCCCCACGACCATCTAGCCACGCAAAGTTTAAGCCCTTCTGCAGGGACAGCTATCTTAAGCCCCCCCCAAGCCCCAAAACCGAAGGCCCCAAGAGAAGACTCTAAGGCCTCAAAGCACTAAGGCATATGACCTCGGGTTTAGGGGTTTAGCTTTTAGGGTTTGGGGTTTAGGGCTTCGGGGTTTAGGGTTTAGGGGTTTAGGGTTCAGGGGTTTAGGAGTTGAGGGTCTATGACCTCGAAGCCTGAACCCAAGAGCCTCGTCCATCCTAAAGCCCAAAACCTCAAAGTCTAAGGCCCTAATGTACCGGGGTTTTGGGGTCTATTATGCTATAATCATAATAAGGAACCCCCAAATAGTGCCGGTAATTACTTAGGCCCTTACATTAAACCGCAATCCCTATCTTAAGCAGCCCCCCAGGGTGGTGAAGCGCTCCGCCATGGAGAGGATGACCTTGGCGAGCAGCTTCCTTGGCATTCCGGGCCCTTATTTTAAGGTTTAAGCTTTCTTGGCATTGCTGGTTCCGATAATGTAAGGGTTCCTTGAAGGGTCTTTTCATCAAGCAACTTCTTTTGAGATTCTGTAACCTACGGTTCCTTTAGGGCTCCTTCCAGATGCTGTTTTACCATGTAGTTCTCCAGTGAGGCCAGGGTTTATACAAGGTGTCTTTCTGCCAGGGATACAAACCCTTTGGCAGTGGTGACAAATATTTTTTGTTTAGGGCTTGCAGGGCTTAAATAGGGTTTCAAACGGTTTGCTTTAGCGTTCGTTGTTTCACCATTCCGATGATGTCATACCGTGCTGAAGTTAAATTGTGAAGTAAGTACCAGAGGCCTTCAAACTCGCAAAGGAGTTGTCTCGGATTACGCACCAGCAACCCTGGCTCACAAAAGTACGTATGGAGCGTTTCCCGATGTTTCGGAACTGGCCGTACTCGTAGACGATGTCTAGTGTAGAGCTTTGATCCCTGACCCCCTTCCCAGGATATGTGTTATGCTAGGATCCGAAAAAGAAGGCCTTTCAAGGCACTGGTGCTTTTTTTTCTGCATGGGGTCTCCAATAGGCTGTCGCCCGCATGTACCATCGGTTCTTGCTAACAGCCACAACAAATTTTGCAATATCCTAGACCCCTAAACCTCTAAATCCTAACCCCTGCAAACCCTAAACCCTGAACCCTAAATCTAAAGCTTTGATGGTCGGGGGCCCAGGATTTCGGGGCCAGGGTTGAGGGTTTCAGGTCGAGGGAGTCAGACCTGCTAATGTAGGGGCCTTCATAATTAGAATAGGGCTTTGGGGTACAGCATACTATAATTCGAATAAGAACCCCAAAACAACGAAGGCCCCTACATTAGGTTCGTTGGGGCTTTGGCTTGACTTGAACCTGGCAGCGCACAGCGATTCCCCAAATTGGTAATGCCTGAGAAGCCACGTAGACACGTGCTCCTGCAACTTAGGAGCATG